GCCAGGAGTTGGAGGATGGGGGAAGAAGGGAGGGTTCGGTCAAAGGATACAAGGTTCCAGTTATGAAGTGAGTCAGTTCTGGGGATCCAGTGTATGGCTGGTGACTGTAGTTAATACTACTATATTATACAGGTGACATTTAGTAACATCTCGGGTGTTCTCACCATCACTACAACAATAAAAAGGTAACTATATAGAGTAATGACTATGTTAACTGACTTGATTGTAGTATCATTCACAGTGTATATCAAAACATCATCAAATCATTACCTTAAATGCAATGTTTGTTAATTACTAAAATAAATCTGGGGAAAAATAGATATCAGGAATCTGAATGGCTTCCATCAAGAATAGGGTGCGAGATTACAAGTTCTCCCCAAAGTCATGAATGTAGGCTTCTGTCCAGGCCTTCCTTTGGACATTCTGGTCTTGTTACTTAGCTGGTACCTGGGCCCTGGACTCCATCTTCCCTTCATGCCTCATACATACTGTATTCACTCTACCCTGACTTCATAATTTCCTTGCTTCTGCTCCTTATTCCCTTTTGATTTATGGACCATAATTTCTCTTGCATCCTGGTTATATCCCTTCAGAAGACCTCCAAGTAGTTTGTTCCAAATATGGATTTGTCTCTTTCTCTCCAGGTTTTTTCCATCTAGATGTTTCCTGATAAATTCAGGAACTTGCGAAAGGCAAATTACACATTTTTTTTTAATTTTCCAGAAATCTGGCACTATTTATAGGCCAGAAAGTTGTAAGCCTGGTGAAGTAACTTGTCCAAAGTCAGAGTCCAAAATTCGAATCCCCAAAAGGACTGCAAACCCCTGAAACTAGGTGTGGACTTGTTTTAGGGGATCAGAAACTGTTACCGTCTCTGTGTGTGTGTGTGAGTTTTGTTTAAGAAAAAGTTTGGCTCAGGGTCTCCGAGGGGAGATATACAAGGCAAGAAATGGTTTTAAGTGTCAATTTTATCAGCTTCATTATAAAATAAGCTGTGTATCAGCATGATACCATCTCCAAAGATAACAGGCAAGCAAACCAGAGGGGAGACAAAGAATGCTAGGAGGTTTTTTCTTTCATGTCTACCACTCTCCTTACTGAAAAAAAAAAAAATTAAAGTATGCAAAGACCATCAAGTATATCTTTCCTTGGAGCTTAAAGCAGGAAGAAGGTGTTTTATCAAAGTGTCAGTGTCAGAATGAAGACAAAAAATTAACAGACATAAATGGATGTCTAAGAGTAAGGAAGAGAAAGAGCTCCAAAGCAACCCAATCCAATAAGATGTATAAGTGGACACAGACCATACTGAAAGTAAAACTGCTGGACTTTAAATTTTATGGTTGGTTTTAAAGTAAAAATGAAGCTAAGATACTGGACACCTGCCTAGCACAAAGACAGCCTCGTTCATAAGTGTTTCCTTTTAAAAATTTAACAAAAAGTCACAGGGAAAGTGATGCTAATCGAGTGTGAACCTATACCTGTGAATCACATAGTATTATAAAACAATAACATCCCAATAAAATACACATACACAAAGGATGCTACTTCTTACAGGCTGTCAATTGCTTGGGGGAAAGGGTCATTTCTAAAGAGCGACCTCTAGTGGTCAGGAGGATCATAGGTCACAGGGACCCGGAATTTCCTCAGAAAAGCATCTTGCCTATTAGCTTTTTTTTTTTTTTTTTTAAAGAATATTCTGGAGTTATACTTAAATGGAGAGTTTGTAGGAGGTTTTAAATGAATGTTTTTTATTTCAGCCTTCCCTTTAAACAGTTAACTATACGACCCAGGCTGTACCTATGTGAACTTTAAGAACTACCAACTGGTCAGTAAGATTTCTTCAACAAAATTCTGGTTTGGAATGACAAAATTTTACTTTTTATAGTGAAATCTGTAGACTCCTAAGTTCTTGATAAGTACAAAACTCACATTTCCTGCATATAATGGTTTATATTTTTGTCTCTGATCATTAGAAAAGAATACTGAATAGAAGTTAAAGGTATAATTAGGAAGAGTGTGGGAACAGAAGTGTAAATTGCAGTCATCCTTTTGAAGGTTAATTTCGCAGTGTTTGTGAAAACATAAAACACACATGCCATTGAGTGAGCAATTTCACTTCTAGGATTTTACTTTCTAGATTTACTTTCTAGATGTATCTCTGTTCATTTATATGAGTGAGGGTGTTTCCTGCAATAGTTGTTATATAAAGAGAAATACAGAAAATCTAAAAGTTCATCTATAATAAATTATGAACAGCCATATCATATATTATTTAAAAGGACATTTAAAGGAGGCAGTGTATATTATGGAAGTTCAATATTCAGATGGAAAAGTAGTATATTTTTAATTGAGGTAACATTGGTTTACAACACTCTGTGTGATTCAAAGGTATACGATCACAACTCCTCAGATGCCTGTCTCCACACCACACCACTGACCAAGGTACCCTCAGTCCATATGGTCCATTATGCTTCCTCCCACTTTGATTTCCCCTCCTCCCTTTCCAGCCTCAATTCCACAGATTTTTAGGTAGACAAGAAAATTTTAGAATGGTATTTTTTT